TGAAAACTCAGTTTAGGTGAAAGAATACAGCAGGTCTATGGCACGGTGGCAAGTGCTGCACGTGCTGCCTCCCATCCATGTGATAGCCCCATGTGAGAGAGGCTGTGCAAGGTGGTGTGCAGGTGGCTTGAGCACCAGATGTGCTCAGGTATACATGCACTTCTGAGCGTTAGAGTTCATGGCACAGACTAGTTAAGTCTGCTCTTGAGTCTGGCTTGAGGCCACCTTTCTAAAGGTACAGATCAAAACATGTATCTTTGTGTGCCAATTGACTCAGCAGTGGGATGAAACAAAGAGGTCACAGCTCACATTCTCAGACTCCTTTTTAAAGGCCTCCTTGCTTGGAGTATTTGCTTGGGAATACACAGAATTAGGAGATGGAAAAAAGTGCTGTGATAACATATGAACATGCTGCTGAAGAGACTGAAGGGACAGCAAGAATGGGGTAAAGAGAGAAGGGCGGCTGATTCTACTGTGGCCAGCTTGATGGTGACATCGGGAGCAGTGGCTGGAAGATGCACAGTGTGTTGGATGTGGTACAGGAGCATCTGTCAAGTTCAAACTGCAAATATACAAGAGAGCTGTAAGCAGTGTTGCTTTCACTGGCCAAACACATTTCATATACTAGCGCTTCCTTGTATCTGCTGTCCCTTCTCCTTTGCCATCCCTGTGTACCTCCCCCTGCCACAACATGCTTCCCCTTCCATCCTCGGCTGTGCCTATGCAGCCTGCACTTGACAAGCTGTTTCCTCAAAGTGAGGAAAGAGAGTCATTCAAAAGCCCCAGTTTATCTCATCCACCTTTACAAACCTCCTGTTCCTAGCAGGAGGTAGCAGAGCCCAGCCTGGCTCCATGACCCTTTCTCCTGGAGCTCTGCAAGATGCACCGTCCCGACACATGCCATCAGATCACATCCATTTCTCTCCACCCTCTTTCTGCTGCAGTGCTCTCTCCTACTGTCAGGGCTAATGAAGTCAGGGCTTTTGGTGCTTTTCTCATTCTTGCTCTGCCTGTTGTGAATCACCTGTCACTGTTGCTACAACTTCCCAGATGTCTCTGTTTGCCTATTCTCTCAGTACTTCTCTCTGGTTTTAAAAACACTATCATGAAAGTAAGAAAGTTGTGAAGACAGAAGGCCAATTTTAGCCGTTGTACAAGCAAATGCAGCTTCTGTTTCTTGGGCGTTAATGTTTGCTAACTCCAGAGTGAGTTTAGCCTGGAACTGGTGCTGTTAGAAACTGTTGCAGGCAGAATTTGCATGTTTGCTTTCACAGAATCACAGAATCGTCTAGGTTGGAAAAGACCTTGAAGATCATCCAGTCCAACCATTAACCTAACACTGACAGTTCCCAACTACACCATATCCCTCAGCGCTATGTCGACCCGACTCTTAAACACCTCCAGGGATGGGGACTCCACCACCTCCCTGGGCAGCCCATTCCAACGCCTAACAACCCCTTCTGCTTTCAAGGCAGCTGTGATAATAACTGCCTAAACAGTTGCTCTTTCTGGATCTTCTTTACAAAAATGATTTACCCTATCCACCAAAAAGGCGATTTGGCTCAGTGATGTTGTCTCTATACCAGCAACATGATAGTATCCTGGACTGCTCACAGGTGTTGGGTCCAAAGCCTCCCTGTGCACGTTCTCCACTATTGCATAAACCTGAATCTGGAGGCCGAATGGCAGCCCCGTGAACCCCAGCCTCCTGCAGTCTCCCATGAAGAAGAGTCTCTCCCAGTTTGTGTAGCTGACTGGTGACCTTGCTTGAGCAGCAGTAAAGTCCACAGCTAGCACATGCTGCAACACAGGTGTGCCAAGGTACACTTCTCAATGACATACAGTTTTTCATGATAGACCATATATGTGATGAGCTCTTGATTAAAGTCTCCTGCTAACAGATTACTGTTTTGATTCAAATATATAGAAAAGGTCCTAGCCTTAAGCTCCTGTTCTTGAAGCCAAGCTTGCCCTGTAGCTTTCATGACATTGTTAGTGGAGTATCTGAGAGAAGATATTGAGAATTGAATTTATTTTGAAAATGGATGAAAAGACAGTCTTTTTGCAATATTACTAATGTTTTCTGTTTTCTTCCTCCATTATGAGACAAAGCAAGAGGTTAAGTGGCAGCCTGGCACCTCCCAGGGGCTGTGTTCTCATCACATGGAGAAGGTCCAGGCTTTCAACAACAGGGTCCCCTCTGTGCATCCCCGACTGCATCAGTCATCTCCCGTATACAGAGTTCAAAACCTCCTACATAGAAGAAAAAGTACTCAGAGAAATGTCTGTTATTTAAATCATGCTTTGCTCCCTACAGTGGTCTTTTTTTCCTTCAGAAAGAGGGCAATCTGGCTCAGCCTTTAGAATGCACGCTTTTATGGGACAGGCAAATCCACTTGAGTTTTAAGTGACAGCACTGGTTTTCTCCAAGATCTCACCCTGCAGTTTAATCTTCAGTGAAACAAAATTGATAGATTTATTTTTTAAGAATCTGGCATCTGTATTAGCAATCAAGCCTACAAATTGTGCCTTACGGTTGAACTCAGTAGACCCACAGCTTTGTGTAATTGAGACTGCAGAATGATAAAGAGTTCTGTTATGGCTTCACATATTGATCAGTCCAATTTAATTTCCTCATGGGACCTAAACCATGCTAGGGATGATGGATTGTGCTGAAGGCCTGATAAGCCTATTTTAACAAAGCATCTTAAGGGCTTCTGGAGCAGAGGCAATTATCAATACTGATGCATGTTTCCTTTCATCAAAAGTTAAGGGCTCATTAATAGGCTGCACAGCAGCTGCTGTTTGCAACACATGACTTTTTTTTAATTAACTTGGAGATACTGTTTCCTCAGCCTTATGAGATGTCTGTTTCCAGAAGAAAAAGAAATTGGGTTCCAGGTTTTGATTTTAATGGTATGTATGATAGCAGTATCTCCTGCACTGCTATATTTGCTATTTTGGTAATTGAAGCCTAGATTATGTTTTAGAGTGATAGTCTTATCCTACTGCTTATGACCATGTCTAAATTGCCCACACCCACAAATCCTGGTGTTTAACAACTTTTGAATTTAGTGTTAGGTTACTTTCGATGTCTGCTGGTTTTAATTTTACTATTGCTGGTTAAATAGCCTTCTGTTGTAACTTCAACAATTAGCATATTTGTTTGGCATTGGAGATTCCAAAAATGTTTTTAAACTGTGGGTTTTGTAGGCTCTTGATTACGAGAAGGAAGCTCATTGTTGCTTCTGACTGTTTTGCCTTTCCTATACAAAAATGCTAACTTTTCATTTCTAACCTATTTGATGTAGGTGTGTTGTGGGTGTTAAATTCATTCTGCTGTTTAATGTTGCAAATTGGATGTATGGAAAGAAAATATGATCATGGCAAATTGCTATGTCAAATGATTTTAAATGCAGTTTTCGGATAAGCAGCTAGAAGTTTAGCACCTTACAGGATTGTTTTCCTTAGGTAGTAGAAGTTTCTTTTGTTTTGTTTATTCATCAGAAAACAATTTAAACTGTTTAACACCTGCTATAGTGTTTTCTGATTTCTTTTCCATTTCATGCACATTATCTCATTAATTAGCACAGTTCTACTCATTAACGCATGGATTGAAAGCAGCAACATGTCCCAAGGAAAATTGGAAAATACCTTTGTTTCTAAGCATAGAAAAAGTTGGAAAGGTAACTGGGTTGCCGCAGATGTAATTGCACAATGAGCCAAATTCTGTAACTTGCTCAAAACCCGATATTGCATGTTTGGTGCTTCATGAAAAGTGGCACCTTACCTGAATTTTCTTCTCGATGTCTGAACTTCTAGAATCATTCGTTAAAGTGAGAATTACAGTTTTCATGATAAAAAAGAAATATTTAACACTGGTAACTGTTGCCTAAAATTGTGAGTCGAGTGCTTCTTAGGAGATCAGAAATTGAAAGTTAGGTGAAAAGAAATATATTTTAGTTCTTCAGGTATCCTGGAATTCTTTTGAAGTTGTGATTCATATCCAACTGTTACTAGAATTCACGGTACTGAAGATCCCATGAATGTTTAATGGAAGATGGCTGGCACCGTTACTGCCCTCCAGGCTGCTGTTTGCATCGCTCCTCTTCCCCAGTTACTGTCATGACTAAAATGTGAAAATGAGTGGGTTACTTTAGATTACCTTTGGCAGTGATTAATTCAGATTAATCACCTAATCTTACAAACACTGGAGCTCTGAAAGAACAATAATGATGTGAGAAATCCCTTAAACTCACCTAATATTAAATATATTCTGTATTTAGTTCTGCAAACGTACTGATTGGTCCAATTCAGACATTCCTACTGATGTGACGGAGCCTGCATGCTTTTACTTGACAAGTAGCTCCTTTGATTTCGATGGTTTACAATCCTTATTAAAACTGTGCAAAGTGGTAGGTTGAATGTCTCAGATTAGCAGGATTAAGAGCAGTTTCAGCATGCTTTAGGCCTTTGCTTACTTCCTCACTCCTTAATTATCCACCCACGTTTCTCTTGTCAGGGTCTTTTCCCTGCGACAGCCCACCACAGGCTACCTGCTTGAATCCCTGCACAAGGCAAAGGAGCAGAGTCTGCTTTTCAGGAAGGGGTTGTAATTGGGTTCACATTTTAAAGGTCATTGTTATAATATGTATCAGGTTTGAGTTCCAGAATAGACCTTTAAAAATAAACTAGTTTTAGGAACATACAGTGCTGGAAAAAGAAAAAGCACTTATTTGGTTTTTAAAATGGAAGAACATTAAGTAAACAGTATAATGCATGGGAATTTCCCTATACCTGCTTTTCTGGAATATATGTTATTTAAAGGTCTTAAATAGTGCGACAGTAACTGTTTATCATTGATTTTAAACCTGTTTAATTACATCCCTCGATGCTTTTGGAAGCTGAGACCCTAAAATGCGAAGTTGTTTCTTTTTTTAGTAACATAAATTATGTTATTTTAAACAATTTTATTTATTATTCTATCCTTAAATCTCTAGGTGCTGAAGTGCTATATATGAACATGTCAGCATATAATGAAGGTCGGCTTCAGTCATCTTTCTGGATTGTTGATAAACAGCACGTGTACATTGGAAGTGCCAGCCTAGACTGGAGATCACTGGGACAGGTAATCGAATTGAAAAAGTAATTCTATATCCTTTGAGGGTATAATGAGGAAAGTAAGTAATGTTTTTGAGGCCAGCAAGTGGAGATGGATATCTTCCTTTTTCTGATAATTTGCTGGTGAAAGTGCCAGCATCAAAAACTGTGATTCCACGGTTTTGATGACTCTTCTGTGTTGGCAGAAGTATATTACTATAAATTTTACTTCTTTTCATTGGAATAGCTATCCTCAAGAGTTATGCTTTGGGTTAAATTTTTAAAACTTAAAAAATTTTATGGCCTTTATTGATTTTTGTGATGATTTTGTTGTTTGAAGATTGTAAGTTCTAGTTTATTTAAAAAAAAAAAAAAAAAGTGAGCAAATCTGTTGGAAGACAAACCACTATGAAAACTTTGTGGTAATGTCCCTCTCATCTGCTATTTAAATAAAGAAAAGCAAAATTTGGAAAGACGTCCACATGGATAGCGTGTATTTTCCTGAAACAGACGCCACCCTTGGGGAGGGAGGGATTGATGGCTAGAGAAAGGCAAATAGTATAAGAATTTTGGGGGTTGTACGTATTAGAGAGAATTCCATATTTTGGTTCCTCATAAACATAAGAGTCGAAGGATGTACGCTAAGGCCTCTCCAGTGCTGAGGACTCTCTACAGTCTGCAACCATTTTGAAGAAGTAATTCATCAGTAATGCAGTTTACTTGCCTTCCTGTAGGTATCTGTAGCTTTTTTATTTTCACAACAGTCTCAGGATTATTAATGGCTGTCATGTTCATTTTTGCTACATACCACTGGCTGTGTGAGGTTGCTGTTGGTCACACTTAGAGAGTGGGACCTGTGTCTTAGATCTCAGTAACTGAAATGCGCAACACAGGGGAAACAGAAGCAGTTCTAAGTAGTTACTAATTGAAGTAAAAAAGCTTACTTTTTAAATAGAATCTCAAATACACATAAATAATTTTGAACAGAGTCTAATGTGAAAAGAAGGTGTGTGTTTGTTGTGTTGAAGTTTTTAAGGTTTGTTTTGAGCTAAGAGTGAAAGTCTGAATAAAACAAATCAACCTTTTTAGTAAAGAAAGAGTGAATAAATACATTTTTTTTGCCATTCCTATGTGTATTCATTTATTTAAAAGGTAACTTTTTGAATGTTTACAAAGTAATCTGGAAGACTGGTAGAAAACAGGATGTTGTTAACAAACCAAAGAAAGTCTTGGCCAAGAGGATGTTGTATTTTTGCTTAATGTAAGAACATATCATTTCAGCTTTTGGACAATTTAGTAATTAAATGATTATGCATTGTCTGTGCCTCATGAGCTAAACTGTATGTCATAACAAAATCAGAAACATGTATGTTATAACTTCACAGAACTGTTTAACTTATAAATAGTTTAGCATCGAAGCCTCTTCTAGTTGGGATTTCAAGTACTCACAAAAACAATAAATTATTATATTCTTATATTTAATCATAGTGTTTATTATATTCATCACAGATGCTACAATTCCATATAGGTTTGGTCTTCTCATACTGAAGTAAATTTTAACTCTTGTGACATACCTACATTAAACTTTGATGCCAGTTCTTTGTGGGCCAGTGTTTCAAATGTGATTCCTCACTGTTAATTTTATCACACTCTTTTCTGCATACATTCAGACATTTTTTTCCATCTTATTGTCATATAACAGTGTATTTTTATATGTAGTGATAAGATGTAACTCAGAATATTTCTACAGAGCAAAAAGAAATCTCTGAACTGCAGTTAAAGAGAATTTGCTTTCAATTAGTTGAGAAATGTACGCTGGTGTTTCAGAAGAGCCTAAGGGAATTAGATACTTGGCTCTGGTTGACATCAGATATGAGTATCCAATTTCCTTACCCCAGCATTACAGGTTAATAAATCAGGGCAGCTGTCAAAGATATCTGATATGCAGTCCTTAAAATAATAATCTGTCTTGAACTTTTCACATAAGTGGTAAAATAAGCACAGAACTCTGTCACTTTATTCTGGGTGCTTTCCTCAAGGAACATACTTTACTCATTCATGGGACCTAATCTTAAAGTCCACGGTGAGCCAAGCCCTCACTGGGGCAACACATCTTCCATGTGTTCTCATTATCAGAGTCCCAGTGTAGCTGCAACTGAGGGATCAATTCCCTCTTGTCTCAAAGCAGCCTAAATGTGTGTGAGGAGTGAGTTTAACTGGGAAATAGTGGAGCAGATAGTTCCAGGCCCGTCCAGACCCGGGCCCTTGCACTTGGCACTGCCCACGGTAGCAGGGTAGGACTTGTGCAGTTTTGCAGCAGGAGGCAGGGAACTCGCTGCAGTTGTCACTGCATGTTTCTTGTTACATCATGGTTTATCTGCCAGGAAAGGATGGTGAAAAGGCAGACTGAGCTATTGATTAGTCACATATGGTCCCTTTAAAAGCTCATCTGACTTTTTGAGCAACTGAACTGTGGATATTGAACCAAAAAACCACTTTGGCCAGTATTACTAGATCTGAACAGCAAATCACAGAATAAAGTAGGTCTCTTCTCTTCTAAAAACATATGGTACTTTGGCCTGTCAAGCACAGCAGTTGTCTTCTCACTCAAACATCCAGTATGAGTCAGTCATTTGTAGCTAGCAATGTCTCATTATTCAGCAGCACAGTTCCAGTGTAAATGATGTGAGTGCATCCAGTCTTGCATCTAACAATACCTAAATGCAATTAAAACCTCAAGATTTTAACTGTGCATGATTGTCTTATCTTTTCACATGTCTTCCCCTATACTTCCTACATGCATGTTTATTGCTTCCTCTGTACTGAACCTTTGCATCCATTCAGGCCAGTACACTGCATAGTTCATATAGGAGCACCTACCTGCTTTGCTGGTGTGGCAGTTGCACTAGAGATGCACCAGGTCTCCACAGTATTTCGCCCTGGGCTATAGTTCCAGAGCCTTCCTACCACTTGCTTGCTAGGGACCTAAAGATGTAGAAAGGCTTCTTGTGACATAGTAGTACAGAGCATTTAACATATAGCAGCTCAGCATACCAGAGAATATTTATTCAAGGTTACTGGGGTAGATATAAGTGGATTTTATTGCTATTTTGTCCCTTTGCAGGGGGATTTAAAAAAAAAAAAAAAAAAAAAAAAAAAAAAGTTGTTATTCGCTTGCGAGCCTGAGTCTAAAGCTGGAATAGTAATTTATTTTTAACAGCTCCTTAGAAAACAACATCAAGGACTTACATGTAGAAAGGTGTCAGCTTTGTTTTTACAATCTTTGTGGAAAATTCTTCTCTACATTTATAAGCTGGACACTAGACATCAATCTCATGAGGCTTACTGAGTTTTGCTGCTATTTTCTTGACTTGCCAGCACTGACAAGAAGCAATACTAGTACTTTATTTAAAAGTAAATTTTCTGCATCAAGGACTGATTTTCATATGCTGCATGTATTACTTGGGGAATAACCTTTAAAGTTGCATATATCCTTGTGACTGCTGTCAAAGTTTTAATACTTGCCAGAGTCTTAGCTTCGAAATTACAGGCAAGTCTGATAGCACATCATTACTTTTCAAGTAAAGCTATGTTTCAGTTAGGTTGCAAGTTTGCCAAAACGCTAATCATTTTGGCTGAAATCATCTATGCCAGCTATCTGATTCAGTCTGAAATAAAACCCATGGGCAAATAAAAAATACTATTTAGACTCCATGAAAATAGGATTTTACAACAATTAGATGTTTTTTAATTCATAGTGAAATAGTTTGATCTTTTCTTTGAACAGATCTAGATTTTGTGTCAGGAATGCATCTTTTTCTGATGTTATCAATATATGGCAAATATTGCCCATTTCCATAACGCTTTGAAAGTTCTGGGTTATGAACAGCCAAGTTTCATTTCCTTAGACAGGTACCACTTTCTTAGATATAGTAAGCTGTGTAAGATTTTATCAGTGAAATAATCTTTCTATCAATCTAGTTTCTTTCTGATAAATTTTTATAAACTGATAAAATGGTGCAAAACCTATATTAACAAGTCTTACATGTTTACCAGCTTGATGAAAGACATCTGGAAAGATGGTCTCTTGTTCTTTGTGGTGCCTTTCTTCCTTCTAAATGTGATTTAGAGGGTGTACTAGAAGAGGAAAATTATGAAGATAACTTTTTAAATGACATTTTGAATGTTTTATTTCATATAGGAGACCTATGTGATCAGCTGTACAAATCCCATCTTCCACTTCACTGACATACATTTGGTAACGGATGCAACTAATAAAAGTGTTTTCCCAGAGTTCCCAGGCTCTTACCTACTAAGAAGTTAGTCTTGAAACCATCAAACAAGCCAAGCAACATCTTCAGGCCATAGTTGTGCAACCTAATTAAGTATATATTTAAGATAATGATATGTTGAAGTCTATAATTTTATTCAGCAAAATATATGCATTTATGATAAAATATTTGGCTGAAAAAGGATTCACTCAAATATGCCTAAAATTAGGTATATATACTGATTGATATTTTGCCTGTGGTTTGAACTAATAACAACCAAGGTGGCCATGGTGCTTTATTCTAGTTTCTAACTACTTGAGCAGGTAACTTATTAATGTACTTAAATAAAAGTAATAGGCTATGTAAAAGGTGTTATAATTCATAATACTAATATAGAGCAGCAACTAACAAAAAGTGTCATATATTTCTTTTGTTCCATGACTCCCTCCAGTAGTTCTAGCAAATGCATTTATCTCCTTAATTCTGTTAAGCGTGATGTTTGTTGTACAGACAGAAGCTTTAATCAGCTCAAGAAACACTTCTGGAGCTCTTCATACTAAGAACATTTTTGGAAAAGTTTTCTTCACACATGAATAATTGAATCCAGTGGGCAAACATCTGTAATGGATTAGTTGAACCACTTCAGAAAAATACTTTTATGTACAACAAATAATCAGCCATTGGAAAATTACTGAAAATTATTGAAACAAGTAAAATTAATCCAATTTTCTTCAGTGTAAGTGGAATCAGGCTAATA